CCCCCCTAAATACACCCCGCTCTGCATGTATATTAAATGAGTCTGAGTATCCATTATTTTTTGTTATTTATACTGAAATCTTGGTTAATTGTCAAATTCCTAGTTATAGAGTGTGCATATGTGTGTGTATAATAAGGGGTGGGCACGGATGGTTAACCGGATTTCGGTTAACCAAATTTCCGGTTAACCGAGACATCGGTTATTAAATTTCCAATACCGTACCCGTATCATAACATTGGTTAACCGCCTATTGGTTAACTAAATTTTCGGTTAACCACTAATCGGTTAACGAATAAACCGTGAAAGCAAAAGATAAAGTTTTCAATATTCTAATTGTTTTTAAATGTTGAACGGTTGAACCTAATTGTTTCTATATATATATATATATAATATATACTATATATATTGTTAATTGGGCTTGATAACACTTCCAGTTATATAAATAAATAAATTGAGGAGTAAAATGATGAGTATTATTTTATTTGTATAATTTTGTACATCTAAGCAAACAGATATAGTTTATGATGAGTATACATATGTGTATAACCCTTTGTATAATAATATAACCCTCCCTTAAGCGTGATTAATTATCAGATTCATCTAAGCATATACGAAGTATATACATACGTACTGTGCTAAGGAAAGTAAAAGGACAGAATAATTACAACATAAATAAGGGAATGATTAATAACACGTATGGAAAAATCTAGAAATATATCCTTGACCATAATATTGCTCCACGGTACGGACTGTGCTAAGGAAAGTAAAAGAAGGAAAGAATAATTACAACATAAATAAGGGAATGATTAATAACACGTATATGATGCTTGCATATCCTCTTGGTAACAGTACGGTTCTCTTCAAGGAAGTATGGACTATTGTGGGAGGTAAGAGCATAGCAATAGAGGAAATTAGTTAACCGTGTGATACATATATTATTCTGGTTATTGGTTAACCGACTAACATAATTTTAAAATTGTAACCGTACCATGAACCGTTTGTTATTAATGGTCAATTAACCGTACCGTGACTTTTTACAAAATCGATACGGTTAACAAAAAATACACCGGTTTTTCAGTTTTTTATTTGGTTAAGCGGTTACGGTATTTTGTGCCCACCCTAATGTATATATATTAACTTGCAAAATCTTCACTTTTACTTCGTTACACTGTATTTCTGTTCAAATACTTCACATTTTCGCAATGGTGAAAACTTTTTACTTATTTACGAGATTGCCAGTTTGCCACTGTATTTTTAACCAAACAAACAACTTCCAAGCCTTATTCTTGAAAGATTTTGGGGTCGGCTAACATGAATATCAATGCCAAAATGAGAGGAAGACAAAAATAAAGAAAAATAGATAGAATGGTAAAGAAAAAATAACATAAGAACATAGAAAGATGAAGATAAGATAAAATGGTTAATAAATATAAAGAGTAAGAAAATTTTAAAAATAAGGTAAGATAAAATAGAAAAGATAAAGATAAATATATGATAAAAATAACATAACAACATAGAAAGATAAAAAAGACAAAAGACCAATGAGAGAGAAGAATTCAATTGTCCACATGAATATGAGCCCTCAACTTTGTCTCCAAAGCCATACTCTTATCCAACACATGAAGAAGCATATCAATTATAATTCGTCTAATTCAAATATGTTTTGGTCTTCCTTTCCCTCTCCTCTTTGCCTCTTCTTCCCATTACAATTGGGACTCATGCATCTTATTTTCTATAGGTGTTGCTCCCACCTTTTGTCTAATTATCTCATTACTCAAGCGGCCTTTTCTGGTGCTTTCACACATCCAACGCAACATAGAAATTTCCTTCACACTCATTTTTTGAATATGACATTGTTTCACCGCATAATATTCTACATCATACATTAATACAGACCTAATTGATTTCCGATAAAATTTACTCTTTTGTCCAGTCGGCATAGCTCAATCATATAGAAACCTTGATGCACTCTTCCATTTTATCCACCCTGCTCTGATTCTAGAGGATACATCTTCATCTAATTCACCTTCTTGATATGTTTCACTTTTTGCATTCTAGAGCCATCTCGTTTCAAATCCAATGCTAGAAAGTAATTCTCATTTCTCACATTAAAATCATTTTTTATTTGATCCAAACTCTATATATATGATCTTTTTCCTAAGTTGAATAGTTGTAATGTACTAGATATATGGGACCATGTTTCTTTTATTTTGATTTTCCTGACCCTGGAGTATTGGCTGTGTTCAGTTTTGTTAGTATCCCACATTGATTGTGTTCTGGGTTTGAATAATTGAATGTAGTCTGGTTGATAAGTGTGATAGTTTGATGTAAACATTGCTCGTTGAGGATTCTTCTGGGGGATAGTTAGATCTAATTTAGCAAGTTGTTTTCTTGTTATAGGAAGTCCACAGACCACAATTTGGTGCACCTATGTGTGCAACCGTGCATTAACTTTTCCACCCAATAGATGTGATTAGATACCTGAAGCCAAATTTGTTGCCCAATTGCAGTCATCCTACAGGTGGCCATCTAGGCATTAGACAGCACCTTGCCTCCACTACTTTTTCCATAACAAGATGAGGGAAGCCATCCAAAGCGTAGCTTGGAGGTCCATGGCGTCGTTTTGTTCATATAATATTTTATCTTGCTTAACAATGTCAGTATGGTTGCATCATTGACATATTATTTGATGTTTGATCTCATGTTAATTGGACTTGAATAAAAGCTTCAAAACATTCATATTTGCTACATCAAATATATAAAATAATACGTAGTATTAGATACTTGGGTGTATATTTTGCCAGATACTGAACATTTACGATGTGTTCATTTAGATTGAAATTTGTTGGTATGTTTGTGAACCGGTTTATTAGGTATGGTCTGATCAGTTCAAGCTTAGTCTGGTTTGTGTGTTTTATCTGTTTGATAGTATGTGTGTTCTTTGTATTACTACATATTTAATTCTGGTCTGGTTTGATTTAACCTGCTCTGTTTAAATTAGTGAACAAATCCTTAACATTGCACCTCAAAGATGTATATCTATAAACAGATGCTTTTTTTCTCTGGATCAGGTGACTATATGCCTGCAATGTGGCGACCAGGGATTCAATAATGCTTTTGTCTTCTGTGTCAAGTGTCTGGAGTTTGCTGTGCATCGGTAAGCTTCCATTGGTGATACACTACTACTAGATTTGCAAAACTTTACCTGGACTTATCTATTCATCAAATTAACTCTTCCCTCACTTTTTTCACTCCAACTAAAAAGGGCATTTTGTTGACCTGCAACTGTAGAGTATCTGATTTGTGTGTTATCAGACCACTTTCCGATGAAATTATCAAGATATTTGTTTTCTTAAGACTTGAATTCTTTGTCATTGTTCTCTTCCTAACCTATTAGGTACTGCCTAGATACCATTCCAGAAACTTTTGATGAATTTGTGAGATGGATTTGTGACGAGTGTAAGGTGAAAGATCCAAACAAACTCCTTGTCCAAAACCCTGAAGGCAACCATAATGTCTCTAAGAAAGTAAGAAAAGTCAACAGTTTGAATCACTATAAATTTATTTATAATAATGTAGCTTATGGAGAGAACAGAATGAAGGATTTCTTTCACATGTCAGGCTAAGGAGAATAGAGATGAGAGTTTTATGATCTCCCAGCAGATGCGTGAGGAATGTGCTAAGATTGACTTAGCAAAAGCATCTAAGCTTGCAGGTCATAGTTCAGTTGGGGAAGTGCATGAGGGAGTAAGTAGCTCATTTGGGGTCTGTTTGGAACTCGGAAAATTCTAGGGAAATATAATTGGAAATGGAAAAAATCAAAGGAAATAAAATAAAAAACAGGCTTAGATAAAAAACATATTTATGTTCAAACTCATTTTATTTATTCTATTTCCAATATATATTTATTATAAATTATTTAATTATCTTGCAGATTCCTTAATACGTTTTAAAGTACAGCCGGCATTAAAAACATCTTTCCTGTTCATTTTTCCTATCCTTATGATTTATTGGGATCCAAACATACTCCTTTATCAATCTCATGATGCACAAGCATCCAATGAATTACACCGATGATCACACCTCTAACCCAAAGTGGTTGAATTTGAAGGAGAAACATCATACAACATCCATGTTAGTCGGGGAAGATGGACGAAGCAATGGATCCTGTGTTGAGTACTTTGATAGAAGTACACAGGATCATCAACCATCTGGAGGGCGTCCCGTTAGTGAAATTATTTGGGAGTAAGTAAATTTTCTTCTTCTTCTTGGGAAAACGTAGATTGCTGTGAGTATTGAACATTCGTACTGTTTTCCAATGTTGATCACAGGGGATGTTTCAAAATATGCAACAAAGATTATGAGATCTTTGACGGACTTGTAGCTCATTTATCAGTTAAAGCATCTGAGAAGGTTTACAAGGAAGCAACTTTATTTCCACCCATGCTTAAACTAGAAATGCTCCCCAAAGCTGTTGTTTGGCCTAACAGCTTCCGTACTAAAGGGCCAACAGATGAAAACATCGCCTTGTATTTCTTCCCGGCTAATGTAAAGTAATAGTTTTGATATCCTTTTCATTTTTACTTTTATTTTTTTTCATAAAGTTTGAAAAAATCCTAATACACGGTGAATTGTCTTTTTATTGCCTTCATACAGATGCGAATGGAGTTTTGATTATTTAGTGGAGATACTAATGCAAGAGGAGCTGGCTATGAAAACCACATTGACGAATGCTGAGCTTTTGGTATTTACCTCCCAAGAACTGCCACTGCAATACTGGAGTAAGTCGAGACGTGCCTGATGTGTGTGGTTTGCATTAGAAATTTGACTGTGTTTTAAACACTGGTAACGTTTTGCAGGATTCCAAGGGAAGTATTATCTGTGGGGAGTATTCATTCAGAGGAAAGCCATCAAGGAATAGTGATATTCCTCCTTCAAAGAGGCGCATATAACATCAACACTATCCATAGATGAAATGCTTTGAAGATTTGGACTCTTGAGGCGAGGAATGCAGTGTAGACTGATTTATCTAACAATGTATTTAGGGGGTGTTTGGATCTGATTCTTAAAATTGCCCCTGCTCCTTCAGGGAGCAGAAACAGAAGTCAGAGTGTTTGAGTAAAAGTGCAGAAGTAATTCTGATGTTTAGAATCAATATTTTTAGAAGCTCTAGGGGGTCAGCTTCTGTAAACTGATTCTGCTTCTGCTTTAAAAATTAGCAGAAGCAAAATCAGTTCCAAACACCTCCTTACTCCGTATAATACTTTTTCTCAATTGTTTAAAATTAATATCTAAAAGGTTATACTTATGTTGTGAAGGTTAGGTCATCTAGGGTGAGGAATGCAGACTGATTTATCAGAGAATGTAGTTAAATGATTGAGTGTGACAGTACTATTACCTATGGCTTTGACCATAACTAAAATAGGATACAAAAAGTGACCAATGAGTCAATGACTCGATGAGTAATTATACTGAAATATCTTTAATATATACATATTCAAACACTAAAGTCCATCCCCTATACGGTTCCTCACACTTCTTCAATCTTCACAGATGGGGCGGTTGGGCAGTAGAGGGCAGTGCTATGTCACCAGTGGCTAGGGGTGAGCATTCGGTCAGTCGGTCAAATAACCGATCGATAACTGAATAACCGACCAAATTTTTTCGCTCTAATAACCGATCGAAAACCGATCAATAACATCACTATAACAGACCGAAAAATGTTGTTCGGTTTTGATTGGTAACTGAATAACTGACAATAACTGATCATATAAATTTTTAGGCATATTTTTTTCAAAAATTTGAATGCTTTAAATAAACATATTAGAAAAAATATTTGATACAAAAATGGATAAAAATAATTGATTTTTTACACTACAAAATAAAATGAATGAAATAATTGATCATATATAAAATGCTTTTTCTCCATTTATGAAATAAATAAGAAGAAACGTATTCCATTATCTCATAATAAAATTAGTTTTCTTATGTTGCTGGTAGCTTTTCTTGTGCATGAGTGTGATTTAATTTCTTTTTGGTCAATCACTAAATACATGAAATTTATTGAAATATTAAGGATTTCTTTAAATATTATTATTGTACTACATACTAAAGTAAACCTTTTTTTTACCGAATTCGCTTTAGATTAATAACCAATGATGGAGTGTATGGCCCAGGGACCCCCAACTCATAGACTCCTGCTTCTCCTACACAGGTCCACCAAACCCAAACACAGCGGCCCAAGTCTTAAGAAGCCCGCGGTACACATATGGGTGCCTCCGGCCCTATGTCCGAGGGCTCCAGATCTCACAGGACAGCCAGATTTGAGCATACAAAGCTATCGGGAGAAAATGTCAGAAATCAAGAGCCTTCGGCTCATAGGCGCCCTCGGCATAAGGGTAGCATTCGGCTACACAGAGCCTTCGGCCACAAGGGAGCCTTCGGCTACAATGCGGTCATCGAAGATTCCCTTTTGGGGACAGACAACCACCGCATTTAATGCGGCGTCACATCCACCCACCGCATTTAATGCGGTGCATATGCGAATGCCGGTGCCACCCCCGATTGAGGTGACCCCTCGGCCGTTAGATTATCGACACGTGTACTCTCATCACATTTATGGCTGCTATAAATAGCAGCCCTTATTCTTCTTGTAAAACACGCTGAGTTCATTTAATACACTTGACTCTCTTTCTTACTTGTTTGTTCTAACTTCTCTCTAGGTATTCCTCGAATAACCCATCGGATAAGCTACCCCCTGGGTACACTATCCATCAACCAATAATAATTCAGAGTATGGGTCAACTGACAGAAAGAAACAGATAACTGTTATCCCTCGAACCAGACTTGGAATTAATCGCTGTAGCAATATAATTCACTGATCCATAACCGGGAAACACAAAGCCTAACACGGTTATCGAATTCTTTTCATCCTCATATCCAAAATTAACGTTTTACAGACCGGAACAGGAAACTAGAGACAAAAACCAAAACAAAAACTAAAGTTGATAAAACAGTAAATAAAACAGAATGAATAACACCATTTTCGTCACCAGACAACTAGAACCAGTCTTCCAGTTTTCGGCCTCACACCTTCAACCAGTGTATTTGGCAGGCGTAAGGAACCAAGCCCGCCTCCACCCCGTTTTTTGTCCCATCTGTGATCATGGTGTCCTCCTCATTCTCTTTCTCTGTCTGAGTCTCCCAGATCTTTCTTCTTTTGGAAACCTCTTCCTTTGGCTCCTCCCCACCTTGTGTGAAGCTTTGAGCAGATTTTGTCCTTGACCCTTTATCCTTGTCTGTCATCTTTCCTTCTGATCTGAATGCCTCTGGTCCGCCCCCCGATTGGCCAGAGCTCGATGATCCCTCTAGAAGCCAGGCTTTCCCTCCTGTTGGGCTGGTCTTCACCCTGTTACCCGCTCTAAGATGAGATCCAAATCTTTTTTCCAAAATCAGTCCTTCTTCATAATTTAGGGGACAAAAATTATCCGAATGACCAACCAAACCACATATAAAGCAAAAGGTGGGTAGTCTTTCATATTTAAAATCCACCCAAAAACTTTTACCATCTTTTTTCAGATTTGTCCCCTTCTTTAGTGATTTATCCATCTAATAAGGACCCTAACACGCATGTATGGCTCTACTTTGTCTTTTTTCTGATAATAATCATATTTAACAAATTCTCCTAAAAAATTTCCAACGCGTCTAGCAGTGCCCAGATTTACCAAACTATAAGGAACATTATGAACCTGGACCCAAAATTCAGCCTCATTCAAAATAATTTTGTGTGGTATATCATCAGGCATAATTTCTTTAAGCAAAACCAAGCTACGTTCATACTGCCAAGGGCCTCCTTCCAGAACACGCTTAATGTCAAAACGATGGTTAAAGGAGAAAAGATATCTCTTTTCCCCATTTTCTTTAACTGACATACCTTTTCTTGGCCTCCATAGTGCAAGCATCTGCTCTTTCAGCTCCGAGAACCGGACTTTGTGATCTGTCAGCACCTGCCCGATCACGGGGAAACCCGTTGCCGCCTCCTCTGTCGGAACGTCATCAAGCTCGCCGTCATCGAGGTTTATCTCTGTCTCGTCATCCCCGATTGCCATCTGCTTATAGCGGTCCACAACACTCTCCATGAACAGGAACTCTTTGCCGGAAAATTACACCGTCAACGAAAACAGTCGGCAACTCTCTACCTTAAGCCTGTCTGCCCAAGATCCCTGCTTAAAAAGCCAAGACCACCGCCCTAACACCCACTCCAAACTCGCCCCTCGTCAACCCTACAATCCACCACCCCTCTAACCAATTAAACGCGCTCCTCGTAAAGACGTAGGCGGACAATCCGATGTTAAGGGTTAGCAGCTCCTAACCCTAGAGAGAACTTACAATTAAGATACACAGTAGTTTAAAGTAAACTTAAATATAACTAAAGTTAACATGAGTATACCATTTATGATTACTATAATATAAAATTGAACACAATCATGCACATTAAAATTACAATTATAGTCATTAAAGTATGAAAAGACATTTGTATCCGGAATATTCAATTTGATCATATATTTGACATTATTTCTTAGAGTAATTATGATATGTTATTAAGTGAAACATCACAGCATACATGAATTACATGCAAATGTTTATATGGAGTAGACTATACTTCGGTTTTCGGTTAACCGACAGATAACCGATTAAAATAACCGGTCATTTTTCGAATAATTGAATAACCAACTTCTTTTAATAAGTAATAACCGATGGTTGATCGATAATCGACTTTTTCGGTCGGTTCAGGTATCGGTTTTCGATTTTATCAGGTGATAAGTCCGTATTTAGACACGCATTTGATGCGTGTTGGGATCGGCTTTTGATGGTTTTCCTAGCTTTAAGGGGTTACAAGTCTCAATTTTAGCTCAAGTTATGTTTATCGGGCGTTGGCTCGAGTTTTGTGTTGTTTGGAGTCAAAATCAGGAATTTAGAGTCCGGCACCGGCGCTTGAGAAGCAATCGGGAAGAGTTGGAGAACATTCGAGAGAGATTTGAGAGTTTTGGAGGCCACCGGGAGGTTCACGGCGAAGATTTGATGAAGAAACGGCCTTTGGATTGATTAAAGAAGTATTCGGGAGCAAACGGGGAAGAAAATGGCAAGAAAACGGTCCAAGAGCATCCCGCGCGCCCCGCGGTGCGGTTCCGCACGCCCCGCGGACGATTCTGAGAGCAAATAGTTGAGGGGTCTGAACCGCACACCGCGCGGCCGAAACCGCACACCGCGCGGTCCAGAAATAACCCCCAGAAGTACCCGCGCGGTTGCATAGTGCGGCGCCCGCACACCACGCGGACGGAGCGAAAGTCGGAAGACGGAAAAACGCGCGCGTGACCGCGCGGTGACCCGCACGGCGTGCGGACGACCGCGCGGCCTGATTTTCGGCCTGTTTTCGGATTTATCTATATATAGACCCCTGTTTTGCCTATTTTTGACTTATGAGCTTAGAGAGATAAACCCTATTTCGATTTTTGAGAGCTTTTCAAGCCTTGTTCTTCAAGATTAAGGGATTCTTTGTAAGTTCTATCTTTTTAATTAATGACAATTATTTCTATTCATCCCAATTCTGTTGATTCTTCAATTATGAATTGTGAGTAGTTTAATTAGGGATTTGGGGTTGATGAAGGGGTTAATCATGATTGATGGCTAGATTCTTTTCGGTTTAATTGCATGAATGCTGTTTAATTTGTGTTTGAATAATTTAATTGATATCTTTTGTAACCTGGAACCGCGGCTAGAATTACAATTGCTTGTAGAATAAATTAAGAGAGATCTAGTTTATTCTAGGACACATTCACCCACACTTAATCGTTCGCTAAGAGATTAGTAGCGATTAAGGGGCTGTAAGCTCGCTCGTCTTGGCAATAATTTAGGATCCTGTCGCATGAGAGATCAGCCTGGTCCCCTAAATTATTGTACTCTACGCCGCGAGAGCGGTAAGAACTTAGTAATGATTAGCTAGGCTCAATTAAATTAAATTCATGTAATTAGGCCTGTTCTGCCAGAAACCTGATTACCCTGGAATCAATCCCTGTTCCCTTTGTCGTTAATTAGAAAGAAACCAAAGATTTATTTTATTCGCTCATTCGCATTAGTTTAATTTAATTTTTATTCAATCAATCAATCTCGCACACTTGCATTTTATTTTATTTTATTTTATTTTTATTTGCTGAATTTAGTTAATCTTTAATTCCCTTTTGTCCGTCCTTGTGGAGACGATACTCGTACTTTCAACCACTTTACTACATCATTTTTAAGTGCGAGAAAACTCACATCATCGGTTTTGTAGGTTATTTGCTCACCCCCTACCAGTGGCATTGGCTATAGGTGGTAGACAGGGTGACAGCTAGTGGTGGTCACTATTGGACCGTGTAATTGTAGACTGATTTATCAAA